TGTGTGATGCATTTGCGTAGCGTAGGAAAATGCAACATTCTTCCTGAGCTCAAGTCGGCAGAAAATAGTTCCAGTTTGGCTTGAAATGCGAGCGTCTGTTCCACCAGATCAATGACAGTTTTCTCTCTGCCCTGTAGTCCAAGGTTTAACTGATTTAAGTGTCCATGTCCAGCATCTGTTCAACTTGTTGAATATTAAACAGAATGAAAATGAAATGCAATTATCATAGAAAAACTGATGGGTAAATATTATGTTTGACAATAAAAAGGTAGTGCAAACTCTGACAAGTAGATAAGTTGGTAAATATATCACACCATAACTTTTGAAACCATTTATTTTATTTCAAACAGGGCTTTTTTTTATAAGGCCACACTTCCTCTGAATGTATTAACAAAACAAATACCGCAAAACAAATGCTGTTGTATATATTAAAAAACAAAATAAGTTATTTTTATACATTTTCCTCAACATGCAACTACCAAATTTAAATTAAAATGTAAACTATAACGTAAATTTTAGCAACACATCTATAGAAGTTTACTCTGCTTCAGTCTTAAACTGTTAAAAAAAAGACTAATAGTAATAAAGTGCAGTAAATTTCAGTTCAAACTTAAATGGAACTAAACCAAAATCTCAGAAGAGCCACAGTGAAAAATAAAATGCTTTTACAACAAACTTCCTTCCATATTCTGTTTATGTCTTAATTTGTTACATTTTTGCTACAAGAAAGAAAAAAAAACATCATTGAAGTTACTGCAACAACTGCTGCATAGTGCTGTTTATGAAGGCTACTGCTAGCAGCAGAAACTCTTTGAATTCTTTGTCATGTCTTGTCCTCAAATGTTGAATCAAATTGCTGCTGTTAAAACATCCAACTTTMDYTCCTCCTCTTGACAGTTAGCAGAGCACAGCAGACAATCTGCTTGTTTGGTGTCCTCGTGGCGATCTTAAAATATCTCCAAACTGCCGACATGTTACTTCTTCTTCTTCTCATTGTTCTTCTTCTGTTATTCGGGGGTGCGGTCGGAAATAACTTGTCAGTGTGTTAGCGCCCCCGCCTGGTATGGATTGTTGTTCACCCTTTGTGCTGCAGCGCA